AAAGAAAGAAAGAAAAAAACCACCACAATTTCCAGGATCTCAGAAGAAAAAACAAAGCCATTGACAAGTTACAGATTTCCAGGAAGAAGGCAAAAGGAAAAGGAGCTTAGAAAGGAAAGGAAGATTCCCCTCTACCCATAAGTTCTCCCATGTCTGTTGTGAAAGGGCTCCACAGCTCCGTAGAAGAAGAGGGAAGGAAGGGCACGAGCTGGTCAAGGTTACACAATCCCGACCTGCCATCTTCACTTCACCATTAAGTTGGATATTCTGAAAGAGGCTTCTTTCTCAGACTTCTGGCAAATTTTAAATTAACATTAGAATCCAACCTGGTTGACCTGGTAGCGATGGAGAATATTTTTCATTTTTTCTTGAGAATAAGGAGCTTGGAAGGCAATGACCGTTTTTCTAACTGGCCATTTCAGCTGTGCAGCCCTGAATTCATCTCATCACCCTGGCTCTCCCTGATGCTGTGCCAGGAAGCCATGCCATCCCAGTTCCATCATTGCTGCTCCAGAGAGTGTGGGAGGAAGGGGATGGTGAGCAATTTTTGCTTGAGAAAAATAATGCCCTTGCCACTAGGAAGGCAAGATTTATGTGCTGTGAAAAGGGTGCCTGGGCAGTTATCTGAACTGCCAAATCTTAAATCAAATAGTATATATTTCTTTGCCTTCTAGAGAGCAGTATCTAATGGTGACAGGCCAGTCACACAGGCCTCAGCTGGCACTTTATGGCTCTGCTCTCTGAGCTGTGCATTCCACACTGGAATGAATGCTTCGGAAAATACGCAAACACCCATGTTGGTGTCATTCCCCTTCAGCACCATATTTCCATTTTAAAGAAAATCTTGAAAATAGCAGAACTACAGATAAAAACAACAGCAATGACAAAAGCAGTAGAACTTCCAACACGTGCACCAGACCCTAAAGAATAGACCCTGTCTACACTCATTAATCACTGTCATTGCTCCTCTGTCTTATCTCTACTTGTGGATTAATCTTGGTCATGGTTCTCATAGAAGGGGCATCCTTCAGTAGCTCAGCATAATTCTAAACATGTCCAACCAGCTACAGTTGAGATTCTTCCCATGTTACGTCATTGAAACCTCATCATTTCATTTTTTAACCTTAGTATCTAAGAATTCCATATGTTCATTTGCAAGATTGAATGAAACCGTAAGCTAACCAAACCGTGATACAAGAGGTTTGGAACCTGACCCATGAATGTGAAACAGGTTGAGGTAATAATTAGGAATGATGGCCTGGTTTAATGATCTAGCTTTTTCCCTAGAGCTGTGATGAGGGTCCATGTTTACAATAGCATCAGCTTCTGGAAATTACAGCCTTCACTGGACAAATGATGCTGAATTCTTACCGGTGAGCTGAAGGGGAGAAAGTTACAAGATATTCTTTTAGAAGGCAAGAGGAAAAGGGGACTTCAAAATAAATGAATAGTTAAGGCTGAACATAACATACAAACAAAGACTCTGCTTTAACTGGAAAAAAATGATCTCAGTGGTGTCACGAGAAAATAATAGGGTTATAGGGACCACATTTTAATTTAGATTTTTAGTTGTATTATCACACTTTCCTGGTCAAGGAAATTCCCAGCCTTGGAGTCATTCATTTTGAAACTTTTCAGTCCCTTGACAGGGTGAGATGCTTTGCCATTGTAAAATGGCCAAAAAGAGTGGCACATGGCCATATCAGTGATTGTAAGGTTAATATTCTGTAATGACCACAAAGGAACCACTGTGCAGCCATTTATTTTAAACACAGGAAGGAACATTGTTGGCTGATGCCTAATAGAAATGAATCATTCTGGGTGTCAAAGCTCTTTTAAAAGCTTTTAAGAATGAAATGCCAAATCAGAAAGGAAGTGTCTGTAATCTATGTTCCTAACAAACAATTTCTTTTTATTTATCGACTTAGATTATTCTTCTTGGGAAGGATTGAAAATATTTGTATTTTTATTATATTTTTATCTTGCCTTTAAAAATCTAATGACTTCGATGCTGTAGTTTTAGATGTAAAGCATCTTCTGAGAAAAAAAAGAGAGAACATTTTGAATTCATATATTCACCTTTGTAAAATGTAAAATTATTAAGCCTGAATCTACCCATCAGGCACAAACTGGTGTCACCATACGCCCTCCTGGTCAGTAAAGGGGTCACAGCCAGCATTATGCAAATCCTGTTAAATAGCTGATTTTAGAGGCAATGGCAACCAGAAGAACGGAGAAGCTGCTATATTTACGGTTAAAGACCTCTGTCCCCACTTCTTTCTGGACACTTCTGGGCCAAAGTCATCCCTCCTTGGCCCCGCTCCTGGCCAACTCCTCCCCTTTCAGGGTGAACAGTAAATAGAAAACAACAACAAAAAAAAACAGCTTCTTTTTCTGGCTGTCTCCCTTGTCCTGCCCTAAATCATGTACATAAAACATAAATGTTGTTGGACATTGTTAAGTGCCCTCAAAACTGAACCCATTCTTGAAAGATTCAGATTATTACATGATAGATTATTATTCAATCATTATTGAGTTGTTTTCTTTTTGCCATGAAAATAGCCATACTCCCCTGCATTACTTAAGTTGAGGAAGAGGCTGAAAGTTGTACAGACTCACTCTCTAATGCCACAGTCATGTCCAAGTATCCCATGTTTACCGTTCAGAAACTGACATAAACTGTGTCACAGACTTCATTTGTGTAAATCCAGTGGAAATTCCATCTTTCACTGGACAGTGATGACTGCATACTCATTCCTTCCAATCGTGCTCCTTGGCTTAAAATATTAGGGGTGACCTCTGCATCACACTTACCAGCTTTGTGAGGCAAAGATCCAGGTCAAGACATATTTTTGGCTTGAATTATCCAGGATTATTGCCTCTGTTTTCTACATTGCCAAAGAGAAACAGCAGACTGGTTGATAATTCTGCCAAATGATTGATATGTGTTTTCATACATGCCGTCTTTATTGTGCAGTACAATCAATGAAGGGTCTTGAACATGCAAAGAGAAAAGAAATGTGGTGCAGGAGAATAAACTTTGGTTTAAGGGTCCAAGGACAGGTGTTTCTTAAAAAGCATTATGTACAATACATAGAAATGTTGACTAAATTCCATCTTTCTAAAATCAATTACTATTTTATAAATATTAAGAAATTCAATTACAATTTGCCAAGTTAAACAAAAAAGATATATTTATAATACTTCTAAAGGGAAGTAATTTCCAAGATTTCTTATGGACAATTTTGAATAGTATCTTACCAAAGGGTGATGTGTCACCATTTTCTTTCCTAAACAAAGTAAATCATATATCCCAGGAGGGAGGGAAAAAAGTAATGTACAAGCTCATGGTGGTTCAATCAGCATTACTGGGATGAGGGGGACAGAAAAACAAACAAACATATCTGTTTCCTGAAAGCACGCAGTGAACATAAAGGTAAATTTGTTAATGGAATGTAGACTATTATGTAAACTTCCTTGTAAATTCTGTACATAGTTCATTGAACTGTTCCCTGTTGCGTGGTGGTCCTCAGCTTTGGGTGGATGTTAAAAAAATCTGATCATTGTAAATAATGTAAGCTTACAAGGCATTTGCTTTTCTTCATGAAGTGAAATGACTAGTGATTTGGGCCCAAACCAGAATCTTTTTAGCTCTTGCTCTTTCTCTGCCATTCTGTGTGTGCAGTTGTGTAACTCTGCTGCAAGCCATAGCCAGGTGTCTGTGATCACTGCCTCATTCCCCTACCCCACTGAAAAGGACAGCAGCTGATGAGAAGGCTGCAAGCCTGTGGGGCTCGGGAACAGTGCACCAGCAGAAACGGAAACTGTAGCAAGCTGCTCCTTGAACTGCGTCATAAAGATATTTGTCTTTATCAGTCATTCGTGGCTATTCATATATTCAGATACTGAATTATTCATGCTGTTGAGAGGGTCAGGAATGGAAGAGATATTCTAAATCCACAGGTAATCCAAAGCTTTATTTGCACCAATAGCTTTAGCTTCTAACTTCTTCCTTCCAGTTTCCCAGAACTTCTATTAAGAATAGAAGTGAATGAATGGGTTTGATCAGGATAAGCAGTCAAATGTCCAAATGATGGGAAGGAGCAAAGGAAGAGACAGTAAATGACTGATAACACCAACAGGCTGATTCATTCCTGAAAGATCCAGAGGTAACTATGTCATTGTTTTTTAAAGGCAAAGAGAAACATTGATATACATTGGGATTTGAAAAAGTCTTTTTGGACAGATATGGCGGCGATTCATGCCTGTAATTCCAGTACTTTGAAAGGTCAATGTGGGAGAATCATTTGAGGCCAGAAGTTTGAGACTAGCCTGACAACATAGCAAGGACTATCTTTATTAAAAAAAAAAAAAAAAAAAATTAGCTGGGCATGTGGTATGCACCTGTAATCCTAGCTACTTGGGAGGCTGAGGTGGGAGGATCACTTGAGCCCAGGAGTTCAGGTGAGCTATGATCTTGCCACTGCACTCCAGCCTGGGCAACAGAATGAGACTCTGTCTCTTTAAAATAAAAAAAGAGACAGAGAGAAAAAGAAAAAAAAAAAACACATAAGTATTTTCCAGCTGGAGATAAGGATATGTGTGACATGTGCCAATTAAGCTTAAAAGAGTCTGGTAATTAAGTGTTCTCAAATACATTTCTCCCAAATATTGGTATTCCTGAAAAAGTCTTCAGAATGGTGGGATATTATGCCACAAGATGTGTTTCCATGCAAACTGGCAGTCCCAGGGAGAGCAATGATGTCTACGGAAATTCAGAATATCCAAGTCAGCTTGTTTCTTAGTAATGTTTTAGAGTGGGCACGTCTTTCTTGGAGGTAAGAGCTTTGCAAGGTAGGACTTTTTGTGCCAACATTTTAAGTGCCAGAAGAGTTCAGTAAGCCATTATTTTGAAACATATTGGTTCTAAAATGTGCCAACTAGGGTCCACCATCAATTGAGAAAGAAAAATGCTTTTTT